CACAAACCTACACATATGTCCATAGACATATATATGTATATGTGTAATACATTTACATATTTACATATATACTACATATATACCTATATAAATGTGCATATGTATCACCTCATAACTATTTCTTCTTCAAATATTTTTGGTAAACGTTTTCTTTATTATTTTTCACCAAGTTATTAGCAAGCACTTTAATAAAAATATTTCTTTGCAAGTTTTTTTTTTTCCAGAACTGTATTGAACTATTACTGTTAGGAATAAAAACACCACAGAGAAATGGAGGTGCTGCAATTTCAAAATGAAGTATCACCCTTAACAGAAAATGATGAATTTGCTAGGGTATTTTTAAAAGGAAAGGCAATGTTCGGTAGTAAGAGTGTTTACAGTTTTCATATTCACTGCATATTGAAAAATCATTAAACTCTGTACTTTTTATTGCTTTCTAAAGAAATCTAAAATATATCCAGAGTGCACACTTACTCAGGTCATTTGTCTGAATGAATTAGTATTTGCATTTTCAAGGTTGCTGTTGTGTTGACAACTTTCCCATAGTGTTATTTAAAATATATACTATGTTCAAAAGATTGATGGAAAATAAAATATTTATGAAAACAGATATTCATATAAAACTCCTAGAAGATTACATAGGAGAAAATCTAGATGACCTTGGGATAGGTGATGACTTTTTAGCTGCAACACCAAAAGGCATGCACAATCCATTGGAAGAAATAATTGATAAGCTGGACTTCATTAAAATTAGAATTTGGGGATCTGTGAAACACACTATTAAAAGTATGGAAAGAAAAACTACACACCGGGAGAAAAATATTTGTAAAAGTCACATCTGACAAAGGACTGTTATCCAAAATATACAAAGAACAGTTAAAACTCAACAACAAAAATACAAACAATCTGATTAAAAAATGGGCCATAGACCTTAACAGACACTTTGCTGAAGATATACGGATGGCAAATAAGTATATGAAAAGATGTTCTGCATCCTATGTCAGCAATGAAATGCAAATTAAAACAATGAGATACCACTACACATGCAGTAGAAAAACCAAAATCTGGAACACTGACAGCTACAAGTGCTGGCAAGGATGCGGAACAACAGGAGCTCCCATACATCGCTGGTGGGAACACAGAATTATAGAACCATTTTGGAAAACAGTGTGGTGGTTCCTTACAAAACTAAATGTAACCTTATCATATGATCCAATAATTTCACTCCTTGGCAGTTAGCCAAAGAATTTAAAACTTAATGTACACAAAAACTTGTGCATGGATGTTTATAGGAGCTTTATTTATAATTTCCAACTCGGAAGCAATCAAGATTTTTTTAGTAAGCAAATGGATGAATAAGCTGTGGGATGTCCAGATGATGGAATATTATTCCGTGATAAAAACAATTGCTCTATCAAGCCATGAAAAGACATGGAGAAAACTTAAATACATATCACTAAGTGAAAGAAGCCAATCTGAAAAGGTTATATACTCTATGATTACAACAATTTAACATACTGGAAAATACAAAACTTTGGAGACAATGAAAAGATCAGTGGTTTCCAAGAGTGGTGGGGTGGTAGAGATTAATACAGCACAGAAGATTTCTAGGGCAGTGAAAATAATTTGTATGATATTATAATGATAGTTATATGTCATTATGCTCTTGCCTAAACCCATAGTATATACAACACCAAGAGTGAAGTCTAATGTAAACTATGGATTTTAGGTGATAATGATGTGTCAGTGTAGGTTCATCATCTATAACAAATGTACTGCTGTGGTGTAGAGGGTGTCAATAACAGAGAGGCTATGCATATATTGGGGCAAGGAGTAAATGGAATATCTCTGTACCTTCCACTCAGTTTTGTGTGAACTGAAATTTGCTCTAAGAAATACGGGGCACCTGTGGCTCAGTCAGTTAAACATTTGACTCTTGGTTTCAGCTCAGGTCATGATCTCACAGTTTGTGAGTTCAAGCCCCACATCAGGCTCCACACCATGCTTAGGATTCTCTCTCTCCCTCTCTCTGCCCCTCCCCTGCTTGTGCTCTCTCTCCCTCAAAATAAATAAGCTTTTTAAAAAAATTTTTGTTAGTGTTTATTTATTTTTGAGAAAAAGAGACAGAGTGGGAACAGGAGAGGGGCAGAGAGAAAGGGAGACACAGAATCTGAAGCAGGCTACAGTCTCTCAGCTGTCAGCACAGAGCCCAGCGCGGGGTTTGAACCCACGAACCATGAGATCATGACCTGAGCCGAAGTCAGACGCTTATCTAACTGAGCCACCCAGGTGCCTCAATAAATAAATAAACTTTTAAAAAATCACACATGCATAAAACTTCTAATGTTTCTCTCCCAAATTCACTGACTTACTATCTTACCCATCTCAGACAATAGGTATTCTAACTTTGCAGTTAAACCCAATGAAGTCACCATGGACTCCTCTCTCATTTTTTAAGTCTGTTAGGGAAATCTTATTGGCTTCAACTTTACAATCGACTCTAAAGCCAATTACTTTCACTACCTTTAGTGCTACCATCCTAGTCTGAGCTGCCAACATCATTGCCTTGCATACTGCAACAGTTTCCTACTAGTGTTCAGCTTTCCTCCTGTCCTCACTATGGTCTTTTCTCAAGACAGCAGCAGCCAAAACACCTTTGAAACTAAAGTCAGATTCTATCTCTCTTCTATAGTAATTCACCATTTCACTCAGAGGAAAGCCAAGTCTTTAAAATGGCCCTCAAAGTCCACCTGAGCTTCCATCCTTTGGTCCCATGTATCAGGGTCCAGCAGAGAAACAGAACCGATTTATGTATGTATGTATGTATGTATGTACACACACACACACACACACACACACACATCTATATCTAAAAACCTATAGATATCTAGATAGGTAGATATACACATACATATTTACACATACCTACACATACACACACACACGCACACACACACAAACACACACACACACAAAGAGATTATATTATGAGGAATATCTCACGTGATTATACAAATTGAGAAGAGCCCCAAATTGCTGTCTACAAGAAAAACCCAGGAAAGTCACTGTATAGTTCAGTCCAATCCAAAAGCCTGAGATTTGGGGGAGCCAATGGTGTAAATCTCAGTCCAAGGAAAGGAGACCGATGTTTTATCTCAAGCAGTCAGGCGGAGAAGGGGTGAATTCTCCTTTCCTCTCCCTTTAGTTCTACTCATGCCTTCAATGGAATGTATTATGTGCACCCAATTGGGAGAGGGCCCTACACTTTACTGTGTCCACCAATTTTAAGGTCACTTCCATACAAAAGCAGGCACACCCAGAAATAATGTTTCGCAAATAGTTGGACACTGTGACCAAGTCAAGTTGGCAGCAATTAACCATCATCACACTCTATCTCCTGAAAATCTCCCTTCTTTCTCTTTGCTTCAGCCACACGGATATCTTTGGTAATTTTCAAACAAACCAGGCTTGCTTCAGCCTCAGGGCCTCACTGCAAGCTGTTCTCTCATCCTGGAAGCCTTTTTCTATGGGTAGCCACAGGGAAAACTCACTCATCTACATCTAGTTTTTGCTTAAATCTCACTTTTCTCGATGAATCCTCCTCAGATTACCCCACATAAAATTGCAATCCATGCCTTGCTCTAATTCCTCTTATCTTGCTCTAATTTTTTAAACCATTTTCTCATCACCTTCTAATATTGTATTTAAGTTACTTATTTATTTTATTTGCTGCTTGTAGTCTATCTTCCCATCCCTCCCTTCATCTAGAATGTAAACTTCATCATGTCAGGGAGTGTAACTGCTTTGTACCTTGAGAAATGTTAGGCGTATATTGATAGCTCAACAACTATTTAATGAATAAAGGAGTGGCTCTATGGGGTGCCTGGGTGGATTAAGCAACTGACTCTTGATTTTGACTCCGGTCATGATTTCACAGTTTGTGAGACGGAACCCCGCGTCAGGCTTCACATTGACAATGCGGAGCCTGATTGGGCTTCTCTCCCTCTCTCTCTGCCCCTTCCCTGCTCTAGCTCTCTTTCAAAGTAAATAACCTTTCAAAAAATAAAGGAGTGACTATGCTACAAAGAAGCTTTTTATGCATCATTTTCTGTGCTTTGATCTCTGAGTATGCAAATATGAACCAGACACCCTGCCTTCAAGCAGCTAACAAGAAAGTCTGACATATCCATAAATAATAACAGTACAAGATAGAAAGTATACATTATACATTATGAGAGATTTAAATCTACTATTCAGAGAAGGGGGAGCTATTTTCAACCAGAGCAACAGGAAAGAGCATGGAGATACCTAATTGGGCCTTGAATTTGTAGAAATGGAAAAGAATAGCATTCCAGGTAGAAGAAACAACCCCCCCCCAAAAAAAAATCACTAATGTGCTAAAGCACAGGGAGTAAGCAGAAAAAAGCACAGAATAATGAAAGAGTTCAGGCTTTGAGTCAATATACCTAAATCAGTATGCCAATATTATACCCAAATCCTGCAGCTAAGTAGCTATGTGACCTTAGACAAATTATTTAACCTCTCTGAGCTTCAGTTTTCATATTTATGGTTTTGGGATAATACCATCCAGCTTAGCGTTTACTGTGAGGAAATCGTGAAAATAAAGCAGCAAGCCCAGTGACTGGCTCCTAGTGATCACTCAATAAATGAGAGCTATTATGGGAGTGTAGTTTGACTGGAGTACAGATGAAGTGTTCCCCTCAACAATGCCATTTTTCCAACAGGAAGCATGGCCAAAATGTATTGCATTTACTCTGCACTTCTTGGGAACATTCATCTATTGTCCAACATGAAAAATGAAGCTGAAAATGACTAGTCTTGTATTAGAAGCATAAAACACTGAAGATGTGATGCATTGGCCTATCAGGCATAAGATTGCTTTGAATATAGAAGGAATAAAAATATATGTGTGTTATATTTCTGCTGAAGATTAGTTTTACTTACCCACCAGTTTCTTTGTTTGTTTGTTTCTTTTTCAGTTGCTCCCACAATTCAGGAAATTAAATCTGGCACCGTGGCCCCGGGACGCAGTGGATTGATAAGATGCGAAGGTGCAGGTGTGCCGCCTCCGGCCTTTGAATGGTACAAAGGAGAGAAGAAGTAAGGACTTTGTGATTATTACTGTGTTTCAAGCACTTTGAGCTAATGTGTTTGTGTTTCAGATGCTTACTTTAAGCCATTTCTTTAACTGGCTTGAATGATTCTCAGCAGCCTCCTCGCAGGCAGGCAAACTGAAGGGGCCCACATGGGAGGGATGAGTAGCTAATAGCATCTAGAAGAAATGTCCACTTTGGTTTTATAGGATCTCGGAAATGCCTGAAAATCCCACATTACTGATGCATTTCATTCCTTCCCTTCTTTTCTGAACCAGAACACCATTGCTCTTGCTGGCAGCCATGTTTACTTGGAAAGTAAACTAGCTTTGAAAGGACTTGGGCACAGCTTCCATGAGTGCACTCCAAAAGCAATCGGAGCTGCTGCCTCTGCCTGGCTTCCTTGATAAGTCTCAACCCTTTCACCTGCCTTACTCTCCCACAAGGCATTTTAACATTTCATTTTACAGAACACTGTGTTTTAGATATTCTATCACTAAAGGGCCTGTAGAGGAGATAAAATACATAGTTAAAGGACTAACCAAGGGGATTTTAGGGTTACTGGAACTTTAGCTCTATATGATTGTCCCCTTGAGGAGCCCCAGGAAAAACCTTGACAAGAGCTATTGAACAAGAGAAGCCAGGACTTGACTACTTTCTCTTTACTTTCAACCAGTAGGCTCATTCAGACTTCTTCAGCTGCTCTTATCAAACCATCAAAGAAGAGTGGAACCCCTGTGGGTTAACTGGAAGATGTAATGCAGAGGGGAGGATATTATCTACAATATATTTTTTTTGCTTCAAAACTAGGGAGGAACATGTTCAAGAAAATGTTAGATTGGACCATATGAAACTGCCATTTATAGCCAAAAAAGCTGAATATTGGCAATTCTGTACTGTTTGACATATATGCACGGGGTTTACTTACTTACACCATCGCTCATGACTAATTACAGCTAAATGAACTGAAAACTGGTGAAATGACATTATGAGCTTAGATATTGCCATAATGGATGACACTGGATGTGACATAAGCAGCTATTTTTTTTTTCTTAAATGGTAATCAAAAGTGGATTTGTAGAAGACCTTCTCCCTCTTCAACAGCAGCCTTAACAATAAACGATATCCCCATAACTATCTCATTTGACCCGAATAACTGGCTCTGCTTTTATCTAAAATTGTTTGCAACTATTTTTATGCAGCCTCTTTCACAATTTGGTATGTTCCATTTTTAATTCTTCCTACTAATTAACGTTTTTACTAATTCTAAATCTACCTCTTTGTAGCTTCATAGAAGCCCCATATTTTTATATACTTAGAAGTAGATAAATTGGGTCTGTGGTCACCCTGGCCCTACTGTACAATATTGTATATCAGCCAATATAACCTTTCTCAGATTCTGATAATCCAGATTGAGAAGCTTCCAGTTTGTGAATATCTATATAGACAAATATCTAGAAGAATGGTTCCCAATCCTCGAAAGTTATGAAACCCTTTGTTCAAATATTATCTTATATGGAAGCCCAGTAAGTAATATCTATGAAAGCAGGACTTCTCTGCTAGATGTGGGATGAATAGAATTTCAATTCCATCTGCTCAGAACCCTCCCTTCTAACAGACTGTCCTTGCAAGGGCCTCCCCCAAATCCCTGGTACTCCACAAAGCACAATTTAAATAATGACAAACTATTTAGTATAGCTTTCAAAGTCACTGCTGAACCTGTCATACCTTTCTTACAGGCTAATGGAATTATCCCTAGTAGTACATGTGAAAGCTCCTTTGTTAAAGTTTTTTTGGTTTCTAGTATTTTGTGAAATAATGTCCTGAATTTTTTTTTCTGTTTCTCTCTTTTCCTTTCCTAAATTCAGAAACCATTGTCATAAAAGGCTACAATAATCCTTAGTCCACTTTCTTGGCCTATAGCAAAAACAGCAAAGGACCCATTGGTGTCCGTAGTCATAGCTTCAGTGATTTTTTTCCCTACTGGAAAGATGGACTATAGCTTTCATTACATTTTCAAAGGAGTTTAGAACCACTGCTAAAAAATAGTGGATTGATTCTCCCCAATCAATGCCCTTTCCCAACACACTCACACACCTAGAGAAAATCTGGGAGCTGTGAAAATCAGATGCACCTGTCAAAGGCAAACACACTTTGGTTTCAGAGTGAAGTGCACCTTTGTCATTTGTTCAGGTTATATTTAAGGAAATACCCAAATTACCAAATCCCACTGAGTATATAAATTCCCCTGAAAATTACCATAAAGCAAATTTGAGAATGTGTGCAGAGTAGGAAAGGGAAGGCTTCTAGTTGCTGAATGATGGTTGTTACACTCCCTGAGTGGGTTTACCATGCTATCTTCTGGGCCCAGGCCATCCAAATATTTATCTCATTAAAATGAAAGACTATCCATGTAAAAAGCACCTGCTGTTTGACAGGCAGGGTTCTAAATTGTTAACAAACATTAGCCCGATTTATTTTCACAACAAACTGATAAGATAGATACTATTATTATTCTCACCTTTTGCTTGGGGAAAACCAAAGCAAGGAGTGTTTTTAAGTCATTTGCACAAAATCAGACAGTTAGTGGCAGATCTGGGATTTGAACTCAAGAAGTCTTGCAAATCTTCATGCAGAGTCCATGCACCTAGTGTAGGTCATGGCACTTCAGAGACTATCAAAAATAATTTGAAATGTCAATACTAAATGGCAGGGGTAAAGGCATCGCAGGTCATTTGTGAATTAGCAAAATAAAAGACTGCACATACAAACAGTCAGACTTTCTGAGTTTATTTAGTCAAAGACACAGAAATAATGGAGTCAAGGTAGACACACAGAGAAGAAACAGATAGAGCACATTTCCGAGTGTTTTCTTGACCTCAGGGTCACTAACAGAAACATGAAGCTGTCAGAGACCCTGTCAGAGCGTAGCAGAGTTTTTACAAGATCTGGAGAAGTTTTATTTCCTAGAGACTTTTTTTAATTGGAGCTTACAAAAATATTCAGAAATAACTTACTCTTTCAGGTCTACTTAAGAGAATGTTTATAAAAACTCATTTCTTTTAAATTAAGATCTTCAAAGCCAGATCTTCATTCAAATAAAATACGAATAAATAAACACAAGCAAATTAAAAAAAAAAAAAGTCAGTACCTCAACATCCTTAGTTCTATCTCTACCTATAGTTCTTCCACATCCTATAAAATCCATTTCTGTGTGCTGAGAATAATCTAAAAACCTTTTAAAAAAAACTGCAAAATAAAGCACAATTTAAAGAAAAGAAGGAAACAGACGCTTACTGAGGACAAATCACTTTCTAGGTTCTTTAAATTCTTTTATCTCACTTATTCTTCAGACGTCTGTGAGACACAATTTATTGTCCTCAATTTACCGATGACAGAAGTGAGACACAGGAGACTTAACCTGCCCAAGAGCATTCAACTTAAAAGATGCCATCAAGACACATTTTATTGTTAACCTTTCCACCCACATTGTTTCTGTTGTATACAGTGCCACTCTTAGTTATCTATTGCCAAATAACAAATTAGCCCAAAACTCAGCATCTTAAACCAGTAAGCATTTATTATCACAGCTTCTGTGGATCAGAATGGGAGCAGCTTAGCTGGATAGTTATGGCTCAGGGTCTCTCATCAGGTTGCAGTCACGTGTCAGCTGGCACCGGTCATCTGAAGTCTTGACTAGAGCTAAAGGATCTGCTTACATGCCCGGCAAGTTAGTGCTTGTTATAGACAGAAGGCTTCGGTTAATCACCATATGGACCTCTTCATAGAGCTGTTTGTCTTCTTCACATGGTAGTTGACTTTTTCCAGAGCTAGTGGTCCAAGAGAGAGCAAGGTAGAAGCTGTTTATGACCTAGTCCCAGAAGTTATGTTCTGCCATTCAGTAATATCTTACTGGTTACACAGAGTGACCCTATTCAATGTGGAAGGGGCAAAATGGGGACATGAATACCAAAAATTGAGAATCATCAGATACTATTTTCAAAATAGCTTCCACACTGTCTCCCTCATGGTTGACATGGATGGCAACTATATTTTATTTATTTTTTTTTAATTTTTTTAACGTTTATTTATTTTTGAGACAGAGAGAGACAGAGCATGAACGGGGGAGGGTCAGAGAGAGGGAGACACAGAACCTGAAACAGGCTCCAGGCTCTGAGCTGTCAGCACAGAGCCCGACGTGGGGCTTGAACTCACGGACTGCGAGATCATGACCTGAGCCAAAGTCGGCCGGTCAACCGACTGAGCCACCCAGGTGCCCCCCAAAAAACTATATTTTATATTAGACATATTAGCCATTTGACATTTAGTTTATTGCACTGTTTAGATAAGCATCATGAGAATGACTAAAGTTATATACTTGTTATTAAAATATTATTCTTTGGTATAAAATGGTTATATTTTTTAACACTATAGGCTCTTTCAGCATACCTGGCAGGTACAGTGCTCACAGATTTGGTTTTACTCCATATACATTTTAGTATTGGGAAATCAGAGTTCAGAGCTCGATTATATAGAAAGCCAAAAATATTAACTTATTTTCTTGATAATAGAGAAGATTGATAAAAAGAAGTGGACTCCTTATATCCAGTGGAAGGGTATTTTCAGAATAGGCAAAGTACTATTAAGCAAATAATGTCTTTGATGACATGAAATTAAATTAATCTATGACTTGAAAACAGTATATGTATTTAAGATTAAGACTAAAAACATAAAGTAAATTGTAATGGACTAACGTTTAAATAGATATTGCAGAAACATGGGTTTTGTATCATTTTGTGAAGATGGCATTACCATCGTGTTTTAGATCAGTGATGTAGGCAGTGGTCCACAAAATTTTTGAAATATATATCCTTATAAGTAAAATTTAAAACTTAGCAAAAACTAAGTATATGCATACTTATTTGTAAATTGTATGCATTTTTGAAGTATATTGCAATATATATTGCAAACATTAAATGACCTAAAACAGATAAAAGTTAAAAGATG